AAGTCAAGAGAAGGGAAGGTGGAGTGGACTTGGAAGCAGTGCCAGAGCTCACATTCTCTGCCTTTTGGCAAAACCACTGTGCTCACAAGGAGATAGGTGTATTGGAAGAATTCTGAGACCCAGATAGAATTCACACCTGGGCTGATAGCTAAGTGAGGTTGGCAAAGAAACCTCTGGTCCAAGATTTCCAAGCAGAGTTGACTAGGATTTTTGTGCCTTGTCCCCCTTGGGGAGTGGGGTCTTTCTAATCTGCATTCTAGATTAGACTCAAAGTTAGCTACATATTACTCCTACTCCTATCTTTGTGAAACAGCTCACCTAACCAGGTTTATGGCCATCCTATTTTTTCATTCATTCAACATTTGTTCCACAAATAAGTCTTGATAATGTACTATTTTCCAGGCACGGTTGTAGGCACTGTTATCAAAACTGACAAAATCCCAACCTATATGAAACATATTCTGATAGGGGAGACAGTAAGTGAATATAGATACAATTTAATTCATTTATGAATACATTGTTTCAATATATGAAGCGGCTGTTTCAAGGAAACTCTAAGCTTCCCGAGGGGAGGTTTTAGGTCAATACCATCGCCTGATCCTCTAACATCTCTCTGCTCCAAGAAATCTTTATTATAACCAAAAATTAATGAACCAAACAATATTATCAAAAGCATCATCAAATATACAATTACCAACCACCTTTCTCGCATGCTGGGCTTATTCAACACAAAAGTGAATAAAATATGGACTGTGCTCATGAGGATTCCTTGGTGTTATAAAAACCAACATACCAGTACCTTATTATAATTCAATATGATGAAGACTAATAGAAGTATATTCCTGGTGCAAGGGGCAGGGGTCCACAGCAAAAGATATATATAAATAAGTCTGTTGGCTGAGTCAGGGAAAGATTCATAAGGGTTGGAGCTTGATAGGTGAGTAAGAGTTTCTATATCTCTAGCCTTGGTCCATGCCTATCTTTACCCTCTGAAGCTTCTTCCTTCCTGGGTGAGTGCCACTCACTCAAGAAGGCAGCTACAATAAGGCCCCCTAGCCTGAGCCCTCTCAAACCACTCACCAGAGCTGTTGAGATCCTGTCTGCAGAAACAGGCCCAGGTGCCATTGACCAAGCGGCACTCCTCCTCAGGGCGGCAGGAGTTGTCACACTTGCCCACTGCAGTAGAAGGGTCTGGTTGGAGCAGGAAAGAGGCATGGTGAGAGAAGATCAAGACACAGAACAGGGCAGGACCTAAGGTCACCAGGTTCAACTTTCTCATTTCTCCAAATCCCACACTCAAGCTTCCTGGTCCCTAATCCAGTAGAGTAAGTGAGAACCCCAAAGCTGCCATATTAATGATTACTACATGCCGAATACTATCCTAAGCATTTTCTATGGGTTAGCTCATTCAGTCCTCACTACAACAATAGGAGATAGTGTGACAGAATAGTTGAGCGCATGGATGCTGGGTCTAGATTGCCTGGATTCAAGTCCCAACTATACTAGATTCCAGTTCTGTGATTTTGGGAGACTTACTTAAGCTCTCTGTGCCCCAGATTCCTCACCTGGGGTAATTAGCATGCCTCTCTCATGAAGGTAAAGAGCTCTGATGGTGTAGTGGTTAAGGCATTTGGCTGCTAACCGTGAAGGTGGGTGATTGAAACCCACCAGCTGCTCCATAGAAGAAAGATGACGCAGTCTGCTTCTGCAAAGATTAATAGCTTTGGAAACCCAATGAAGGTCACGATGAGTTCGAGTCTACTCAATTGCAGTGAGTTTGGTTTGATTTGGTTTTATCTCATGAAGTTGTTAAGATGATTAAATTACTTAATATGTCTGAAGTGCTTCAAATAGGAGCAAGGACATTGTAAGCACTATGTGTTAGCTGTCAGTTTTGCCATTACCCATTTTTCAAGTTCAGAGAGATAAATTAAACTTCCCAAAATGGAGCTGGAATCCAGAAGAGCTTGAGGTCTTAATATCATGTTATATAACATTTATAAATCAGATTTCACCCTTAGATGTAAACATCTGGCTTTACTGGAAATGTTGGAAGACCTGACGACTCTAGGGTGATAGTCACACTGGGCAGTAACTGCTGAGCTGAGTTGAGATGTTTTGTGTAGTCCACTCTTCACTTTCTCCACTCAAAGCCTACTGACCCTTGGGCATTTCACTGGGTGGTTCCATCGTGGAGCTGCCCCAGATCTCCACTACTCACCTGTGCAATATCTGAGATTGCAGCCGGCCGTGCCCTCCAATAGGTATACATAGTACCCACCAGGGCAGGCCTTCACTGACACTTCCTTCTTCCAGAGGCAGCAGTTGCCACTCCAGTGGGCACAAGCAGTGCGCGTGACAATGCCCTCTTCACTGGAGGGGTGGGTCCCATTCAGCCACACTGGAGCACCCGTCTGGCACCGGAGAACTGGGACACATGTCTCTGGCATCTGGATTCCGCCTTCACCCACAAAGCGGTACCAGCCTTGCAGCTGATTATCACACAGCTGGCTACCTTCTTCATACTCGGTACTTCTGGAGGGTTCATCCAACAGGGTGTAACTCTGGCAGGGATCAGAACTGGCCTTGGCAGAGTTTCTGAAACCTGGGGAAGTGACAGAGTGTACTTGGGTTAACTCAATAACCCAAAGACTACAAGGCTTTTATTCACCTCACACATGCTATTTTGGAATTGCTAAGACCTTAATCTTCTGCTTGCTCAAAATCAGGGTGACTTGAAGCACATAATGATAAAGATTAAAGACTTTAGTCTGAAGTATAGATTGTATCTCAACATAAAGAAAACTAAAATCTTCATAATTGGACCAATAAGGAGCTTCATAATAAATGGAGAAAAGATTGAAGTTGTTAAAGATTTCATATTATTTGGTTCCACAATCAACAAGGGAAGCAGCACTCAAAACATCAGATGACATATTGCATTGGGCAAATCTGCTGCAAAAGACCTCTTTAAAGTGCTGAAGAGCAAAAATGTCTTCTTGAGGACTAAGGTGCACCTAACCCAAGCCATGGCATTTTCAATACCCTTGTATACCTGTGAGAGCTGGACAATGAATAAGGAAGACGAAAGAAGAGTTGATGCTTTTAAGTTGTGTTGGTGAAAAATGCTAAAGGTACCATCGACTGCAAGAAGAAAGAACAAATCTGTCCTGGAAGAAGTGCAGCCAGAATGCTCCTTGGAAGCGAGAGTGGCCAGACTTCGTCTCACTTAATTTGGTCATGTTGTCAGAGGGGACCTTTCTCTGGAGAAGGATATCATGCTTGGTAGAGTGGAGGGTCAGCAAAGAAGGGGAAGGCCCTCAATGAGATTGACACAGTGGCTGCAACAATGAGCTCAGGTATGGCAAGTATTGTGAGGCTGGCATAGGACAGGGCACTGTTTTGTTCTGTTGCACATAG